AATGCCACATCTCGATTGAGAAGGTTGGCGTTGCAACAATGAGGACTAGTCTCCCGCGTGTCCTTTCGTTCTGCAACTCAAGAAGGGGCGTACACTGGATAGGGAATTCTGGGCGTTGAAGTCCACCTGTCTTAAAATGGCTAAGTTTAAGAAACGTGGTCCTACGGCATCTGTGGAAGACAGCTCTCCCAAATCATCACGGATGGAGGGGTGAAAAGCAACACCCACAAAGAGCCAGCTGGAGACGTTGTAAAAGCACATGCGGTCTCAGATCAAACGGGTCGCTGGCAGGCGATCCAACTGAGGCACTGATGAATTCTTGATTCATTTGCTTACCCAAAGTGTCACGGGTGCACCTAGTGTTACCTACTTTGCGTAATGAAATGTCTGCAAGAAAATAACCAAGCTCAGAGAGATCTAAGGGTCCCATAGCTCCTCCTCCTCCTCCACCACCACCACCACCACCACCACACCCTTCCAGCACTGATGATGTTCCCTAGTTGGGCCATGAAACGTCTGCAAGAAAACAACCAAGCTCAGAGAGCACCAAGGACCCTACAGTTGTCCTCCTCCTCCTCCTCCTCCTCCTCCTCCTCCTCCTCCTCCTCCTCCTCCTCCTCCTCCTCCTCCTCCCCCCCAAACCCCATTCCTTTCTCACACTGATGATGCCACCTAGTTGGGTCATGAAACGTCTGCAAGAAAAGAAGCAAGCTCAGAGACCACAAGGACCCCTCATTTCAACCCTGGACTGCCAAAAAAAACCCATTGCGTGAAAGCCATGGGTGGGCACCAAGGGCGCCATGCTCACCAACCCATTTTTTGCACCCCCGGAGATCGCGTTCTCCAAACTGGGTGGCAAACTGCAGTGTATCGAGGTGCAGTTTCAGCGAGAAATAAAATCACTCTGATATATAAACCCCCAGATTAGTTTAATCCGCTTACAGAGGAGAAGAAAGAGGAGCATCTCAGCCTTGTCACTGCGCGGCATCGTTCCGCAAAGAGCTAAGCCGAAGCCTCGCGCTTCCCAAGTCACCAAAATCCCGGCGTTTGCCGCCGGCCATTGGTGGTTACCCTCCTGACCTCCAGTTTCGGAGCCTCCTTTAAAAGTTGGACGGCTTCTTTTAAAAAAAGACAGAAAAGAAAAAGAAAAGGGAAAGGAAAAAAAAAAACGATGCCTACCGTTTTTGAATTATTGACGGAGGTGGTTTTGCATCCCATTCAGCGGGATCGTTTCTGGATTATCGACAGGTAATTGCGCTTTGGATATGACATCGATAAGGGCAGATCCGCCTCCGTAATAAACCCAAGCCAGTTAGAGACCCAGCGGCCGCAGGAGCGCCAAAGGCTTCCTGTGCGTGGGGGGAGGGTGTGATTTACAGGTCATCCTCGGCTAAGGACCGTTTGTTGAGCGACCGTTTGGAGTTACAAGGGCACTGGAAAAATGTGTTTTATGATCTGGCACTTACGATGGTCACATACGAAGCACGATTGTCACATATGAAGAACGGTCGCACGGATTGGGTATGTCTAGTTTAATGAAAAGAAGGAGTAGGGGTGACCTCCAAGGTCTCTTCCAACTGTTATTCTTCCTTCCTTCCTTTCTTCCATGTTCCTTCCCATCTTGCTCGTTCCTTCCTTCCTTCCTTCCTTCCTTCCTTCTTTCCTTCCTCCCTCATTTCCTCCCATCTTCCTCCTTCTTCCTTCCTTCCTTCCTTCCTTCCTTCCTTTCTCCCACGTTCCTTCTCATCTTGCTCGTTCCTTCCTTCCTTCCTTCCTTCCTTCCTTCCTTCCTTCCTTCCTTCCTTCTTTCCTTCCTCCCTCATTTCCTCCCATCTTCCTCCTTCCTTCCTTCCTTCCTTCCTTCCTTCCTTCCTTCCTTCCTTCCTTCCTTCCTTCCTCCCACGTTCCTTCCCATCTTGCTCGTTTCTTCCTTCCTTCTTTCCTTCCTCCCTCATTTCCTCCCATCTTCCTTCTTCTTCCTTCCTTCCTTCCCTCCTTCCTTCCTTCTTTCCTTCCTCCCTCATTCCCTCCCATCTTCCTCCTTCCTTCCTTCCTCCCTCCCTCCCTCCCATTCCTATTTCTTCCTTCCTTCCTTCCTTCCATCCTTCCTCCCTCCCTCCCTCCCTCCCTTCCCACTCCTTCCTCCCTTCCTCCCTCCCTTATCACTGGAGGTTTTCAAGAAGAGACTGGACAGCCATTTGCCTGAAAAGGTCTAGGGTTTCCTGCCTGAGCAGGAGGTTCAACTAATCTAGCCCCATTCCCAGCTGGTCCCAATTTCTGGAAAAGAAGCACCAGGGTTTGGGGTACCTGTTTCCAAGTAAACAGTGATTTCCCCCACCCTCTCCAAATGCGATTTTCAGAATCTCTTTGGAAGGAGCAGAATCCTGCTCCACAATTTTTGCAACGGCACAACGGCCCATCTGCAATCGATATATCTGGAAGTACATTAGGGCAGTGCACGCCTTTATTTTCAATTTAATTTTCCTCTTGTCAAGCAGCAGAGTGAGGGGTTCCTCTGCTGTAAACGATGGAGCTGACTTTACATTCTTGCTTCCTGAAGCTTTGTCAGTGTTTCTCAACCTGGGCCCACTTCAAAATGTATGGACTTCAACTCCCAGAATTCTCCACCCCTCTGAAAGCAGGCTGGCTGGGGAATTCTGGGAGTTGAGGTCCACCCATCTTAAAGCAGGTTGGCTGGGGAATTCTGGGAGTTGAGGTCCACCCATCTTAAAGGATGCTGGTCGGGGAATTATGGGAGTAGAAGTCCACCCCTCTTAAAGCAGGCTGGCTGTATAATTCTGGGAGTTGATGTCCACCTAACACGTTTTGTGTTTACGAATGGAGCCAGAAGGAATCATTTGGCCAAATGCAAAAAACAGAATAAAATAAGAACTGGCAAGCAGAAGCAAGATTCTAATAAGGCTGCTTCATTAGCGCTGCAGAGGAGAGCAATGAGGAGGAATGGATAAATATTGACAAAGCTTGCCATTTTCTCTCCTGGAAGATGGTAGTTAGCAGTGCAACCTTGAAGGAACAACTTTCCAAATATCTCTGTGAGGTCGATGCTACATCAACCTCCCCCAGACCAGACCAGCCTCCCTCACCCATGTGCTGGACTACAATGCCCTCCTCTTGGCACCAGCTGAGGTCAATGGGCTGCACATTCATGGAGTCCTGAGCTGGGCTGAAACTCTGGGCCACCAAATAAGCGAATTTCCATATAAATAGCCACGCTGAAGTTCGCTGGCACTGATATTAAACTAATATCCAAAGCTATTTGATTTCAGAAAAAGGCGAATTATTTGGAAGGCAGAGTTAGCTTAGAGATGGACAGAAAGGTGCATATACAGCCTCTCTCCTTAGGTGATGCCTAGTTAAGAAGTCCGACACATAAATAAAATAAAGTTTAGAATCTGGGAAGAAAAAGAGACTAGCTGTTAGGAGCTTCCTGCTCCAAGCACGGATCGGTATTTAAACCTCTCTTTCGAATCTCGACCGTGGGGACTTTAAGATGGGCGGACTTCAACTCCTAGAAACCCCCAGCCAGCTATGCGGAGAAAACTAAGGTTTTACCCCTTGGCGGGAAAAACCAAAGGTACAAGTACAGATTAGACAAAACCTGGCTCAAAAACAGCAACGGTGAGACGGACCTTGGAGTCCTAGTGGACGATCACTGAAACATGAGCCAGCCGTGTGCGGTGGCAGCCAAAAAAAAGCCAATGCAATTCTTGGTTGTATAAACAGAAGCATAGAATCAGAATCATGTACAGTATTAGTACTGCTTTGTAAAGCCTTAGTAAGGCCACACCTGGAACACTGGATCCAGTTTTGGTCACCACGTTACAAAAAGGATGTTGAGATTTTGCGGGGGGGGGGGGAGTGCAAAGAAGAGCAACTAAGACGATTAAAGGCCTGGAGACTAAAACATACGAAGAACGGTTTGCAGGAACTGGGTCTGGCCAGTCTAGAGGAAAGAAGGACCAGGGGGTACATAAATAGCAATATTCCAATATTTGAGGGGTTGCCACAAAGAAGAGGCAGGAAAAAGGAACAACGGATGGAAAGTAATCAAAGAGAGAAGCAACCTGGAACTAAGGAGAAATTTCCTGACCGTGAGAACAGTTAACCAGTGGAACAACCTGCCTCCAGAAGCGCTGAATGCTGCAACACTGGAAGTTTTTAAGAAGAGACTGGACAGCCATTTGTCTGAAATGGTGTAAGGTTTCCTGCCTGATCAGGGGGTTGGACTAGATGACCTCCAAGGTCCCTTCCAACTTTATTTATTATTATTATTATGGATCATCGCACAGTCAGCCAGATGTTCAGACTGGATTTGGCATTTTCTCTATCTATCGAGTCCTTACCAAGGACCTGGGATAGGCAGATGTGGATGTTTGATGGTATTACAGATATCGTCGCAGGATGGAAGCAGTTCCTAGTAAGGCCGCCTTTTGCAATTGACTAATAGCGAATTTTTATTATTATTATTATTATTATTATTATTATTATTATTATTATTAATCATCGCATAATCAGCCAGATGTTCAGACTGGATTTGACATTTTTGTCTATCTATCGAGTCCTCACCAAGGACCTGGGATATGATGATGATGATGATGATGATGATGATGATGATGATGATGATGTGTCCAACTGAGGCTCAATTTTGCTCAGGGTGAGCAGACTGCAAAAGGCACCACCTGCCTCTTTGCCCGCTTTGGCATTCAAGTGGTCTCGAGACCCCCAGCCCCACTCCACCCCAAATTCTCCTTTCTCCCTCTTTAGCCCCCCCCCCCCCGCAAGGAAGGATTCAGCCCTGCAGGGATGCAAAACCGCCCAGGGGAGCCCTCTGGTCAAACCCACCCTTACTCCTTCTCCTGGCTTTTCAATCAGCCCCTGGCTGCCATCGGGAGGGAGAGAGGAGGGAAGAGCAGCCCCCCCCCCCCGCCGCCGCCAAAGGATGCACTTCAAAGCGAAGGGGAGAGGATGCTGAAGGCGTAGGAGGTCTCGCCTGGACAGCAACGGCGGAAGAAAAAAAAACCAGCGGTGCTGTGCACAAACCAACAGCGCTCTTGATCTCATCTGGCGTTTGTGTGTCACAGCATCCCCTCTTCCGGAGTGTGTGGCATGCACGCACACGCTTACACACACACACAGACAGAGATAGAGAGAGACACACACACAAACACAGACACCCAGACCTGTACATCTCGCTGCTTTCTGCTCCCCGCAGGAACAATGTCCCTGGCATAATCTCTGCTCTGCGTTGGGGGGATGTCTTCCTCTCTTCCTCCCTCTTCCTCTCTCTCCCTTTCCTCTCCCCTTCTCTCCCTCCCTCCCACCGTGTCATCCCCAATTCCCTTCCCTCCTGGTTATTTGCTTCTCGCCACTGGAATAAGCAGCTGGCTGGCGTCATAAACTTTACCAACGGGGTGAGGGGGAAAAAAAAAAAGAGGGCTCGGTCCATCCACCCGCTCTCCACTGGATTAATCTCCTGACCAGGTAAGCACAAGGTCGGATTTTATCCCCTGGCACAGCTTTGGCAGCAACGGAGAGGCTTGGGGCACCGAGCTGGCAGGATCTGATCTGCCAAAGAGGGGGTGGGGTGGGGGGATGGAGAAGAGAGATGAGCTTGCAAGAGGCTGCGTTTTTGCCGAGGAGATGGCACGGATTGTTGATGGCACTGGAAGGGGCAGAAGGAAATAAAGCGAGGAGGAGAGAAATGTTTTGCGCCTGGGAATTTCTGCAGGGCATCAGACTGGCATCCGATACTTCTTTGGGGAGGGCTTGTTTTGATTTGGGGGGAAATGCTGGGGCTTGGATTGGCCTGCCGGTGGTGGATTCATCAAGGCAGCGGTGAGGTTGAGATTTCCTGCAGTAGCATTTTTCAGGCGTCTTTACTGCCCCCTCCCCACCCTCCGGCACGGGCAAAATGTTGGAGTGTGGGGGCTGTGCTGCGATGATGCTTGAACTCGGCTCCCGCCTTCCTCCGTGGAGAAGGGAAGACAGGAGGGTCAGTGAAGGAAGAGGGAGTTAGTTTGGCTGGGCATCTTCAGGTGTGAGCTCACACCTGTCCAGAAGCAGAGGATGTTGTGGCTGGCAAATCTGGACAGCGAATTTTCATGCATCTCCGGCACGGCTGTTCCTGGGCAAAGACTGGCATATGATTGCAGAGATGCTCAAGGCTGTAAAAAGGTTTTGGCTGGCGAACGAAGCGTGGGAGAGACGCCGCGTCGACCAGCCTGGTCAAACGATGCTACCAACTCTATGTTGTCGATGTCAGGGAGGAACCGGCTGCAAAATCCGAGCCCTTGTGTTTTTCTTGTGCTGAGTGGCATGCAGTGGTTGCTTCTCCCACGCCTCAAAAAACACGGAGCCTTAGCAGGGGAGCAAAGAGACATCTTAATGGAAATCTAGACATTATTTTTTTTTTTTTTCCAGATTCGAGCAGAGTTATTGCAGACAGCAACCCCATCTCCTGTGCTCAGGGCCCTGGGCGGCCTTTCCTTCTAGCTCTTTGCAAGCGAGAAGGTGGACAGGCTGTTTTCAACCTGCCCGCTCAAGAGGCCAGTCAGCCCTGAATATACCCCGGCTGTGCAGATCTGGGTTTTTCCAAGTTAGCCAGAGGATTGGCGGGATTTACACACCGAAGGGGATTTTTGACACTCGGCAAAATCAGTGACCCTGATTCTCCTTAAATCGGGGAGATTAATTTGCTTCCGAAGGACCCATGCAGCAAAAATGAAAGTTGGCAAGGTTTAACGAAAGGAGATCTGGAAAGAGTTTAGAGGTGGTGGGGGGGGGGAAGTGGAGGCAGATTATTGGATTAGCCCAGTTTTTAATCTCTGGCTTCTAACCCTGCCACCTCGCCCCCCTCCCCTCTTTTCCCAGGAGGGCAGAGCTTCCATTTAAATAAACAACTCATCCGATTTAGAGAATATCCTAGAATGATTCGGAGAGGCAGGATTATGAAATGGGTGGCCATCACCTCAAGGCCATCGAGTGGAAATAGCCAAAAGAGATCAGACAGGATGTAGATGTTGCGTTAGTGTGTCACACAACCCTCCTGAGCTGCCTGTGTCTCTGGCCCGTAACCCCCATCCATTTTCACGGGGTCCTGTGCCTTGATTCTGCCCCACCTCTGACCCCCAACTCAAACACGACATTTTTAAGCAGCCAGTTTCGAAATTTAGGACTGCCCTCTGATCGATTTGAAGGGTTTTTTTCTCTCTTTTCTCTCTCTCATTTTCTCCGTTCTTCCCACCCTCCCAAAAATTGAGGTTTTAGGTGGGCAACATCATTATTTCAGCATGATAGGATCTGGATTGTGTCAAGGGTCAGGAGAAGAGAAGGGTGGATAAAGGTGGCTTGTGCAAATGCTTGGCCTTGTAACGGAGGCTGAAAACTAAAGTTTAATGCAAGGCTGTGTCTGGGGGAACCCGTGGAACCTGGATGGGGAATGACAGGCAAAAGGGAAAAATAAGAGAGAAGGAGATTTAGTGAGAGTATATCCCCTCCTCAAGATCCATTATAGCAAAGTTTGTAAAAAGAGTTGCATAAATCTCAGCCTGCCATTTAGGTACAATTTTAAATCTGAAGGTGCAGATGGATGTTTCACCTAAAAATGGGGCCCTAGGTTAGTCCTTCCTTCCTTCCTTCCTTCCTTCCTTCCTTCCTTCCTTCCTTCCTTCCTTCCTTCCTTCCTTCCTTCCTTCCTTCCTTCCTTCCTTTCTCTCTCTCTCCCTCCCTTCTTTCTTTCTCTCCTTCCTCCCTTCCTTTTCTTTCCCTTTCCTTCCTTCCTTCCTTCCTTCCTTCCTTCCTCTTTCATTCTTTCTTTTCTATCTTCTAAAAATTGAGACGCACAAACTCCTCCCTAACGAAAAAGAAGGAGAATGATTTTGGAATAATTTCCCAACGTGATGTCATTTTAACACAAAAGTGAGCTGCGGCTGGCTTTTTCCAGCCCGCAAACCCACATCCGAACAGTCAAGGCCTCCGATTTTGCACAAAATGTAAATCTCTGCCAACCTTGGCTTCGAAGTAAACACAGCAGGGAAGGAGTAAAACAGGAGTGATGGAGAATACCTGGGAGGGTTGCGCCCCACGGGGCTGTTTGTGTGTGTCTTGCTCCGCTCCTGGGTATTTCATCATCTGTCATCATAGATGGAAGGAGCAGAGGAAACTTTCAAGAGGTTTGGTGCTGGGAGGCCGGTGTGCAGGCGTAGGCGTTTGTGCGGGTGCAGAAGTAGGAGGCAAGAAAGTGTGCGGGAGTTTTGTGTGTGGAGTGTTGCTCCATTTCAAAGTGGGCTGGAACGGTTCAACCAGAACCGCTTTCCCTGGAATAGATATAGAGCTGCATCCTTGGGGTTTACAGAATAACAGAATAATTTGTGATTGTGCTTCCTGTCAGGAAATTTCTCTTTAGTTCTAGGTTGCTTCCTTCCTCGATTATCCGTTGCTTCTTGTCCTGCCTTCTGATGCTTTGGAGAACAGCTTGACTCCCTCTTCTTTGGGGCAGCCCCTGAGATATTGGAAGGCTGCTGTCAGGTCACCCCTCGTCCTTCTCTTCATTAAACCAGACATACCCAATTCCTGCAACCGTTCTCCCTATGTATGTTTATTTTTATTTCGAGGCAAGAGGATTATAGGATTGCAATCCTTTTTTCTCCCCTCCATTAGTCAATTACATGTCAATGGGAATGGCCTTGGGCACATCTGTTTCTGTACCCGGGGAAAGCCACCACTTGTCTGTGTTATTAGTAACATCTGTATTACTGCTATTATTGGCATCATGGTATTTTTCTAAACCGCCCAATACATGTTCTGGGCAATGTTTATATAGCATCATTTGTAACTTTGAGACTCGTGTGTGCTTTTTTTTTTTTTTTTTAATGGGGTAGTCTCTGCCCAAATGGAAAAAAAAAAACATCTGGAAAAGAAATCAAACAAAGAAGCCTAAGTTTCATCATGAAACTGCTAAAATCTCCAGCTCAGACTCCACTCAAGAATATTTTAACTGCTTTATGTACCAGTGTTTCTCCATCTTGGCCGTTTTAAGATGGGTGGACTACAACCCCCAGAATTCCCCAGGCAGCAGGTTTTAGGTATGGGGACTTCAACTCCGAGAATTCTCCAGTCAGCATGCTTTAAGATGGGTGAACTTCAACTCCCAGAATTCCCCAGCCAGCAGGTTTTAGGTATGGGGACTTCAACTCCCAGAATTCCTCAGCAGAATGCTAGCTGGGGAAAACTGGGTGTCGAACACACATCTTAACAAAACCAAGGTTGAGAAACTCTGTACCAGACCAAACTTCCAAAGGAAGATGCATTTTCTGAACGGGCCCAGAGACTCATCTGAGCCACGTGTGCCGAAAATCACATTTCTTCCTTTCTGTCTCTTTCAAGATCATTTAGGCCAAAAGGCAGTTCTGGCCATAAATAAAGCAAAACACAAGACAGGGGATATGGCTGCCATAGTTGACGAGTAGAGTGATAACTGTAAGCTAGGGGTCTTCCAACTTGGCAACTTTTAAGACTTGTGGACTTCAACTCCCAGAATTCCTTAGCCAGCCTGCCTGAAGACGGCCTGTTCTGTAAACTCTCCCTGGGGAACTCCTGATGCTAAGAGGGAACTGGGGAGGCCGTGTCAGCCAGGCCTTCTTAAGGAACCTCCAGGGTTAGGAGCAGTCTACCTGTGATTACGAGATGCAAGCAGCAGAAGAGAGCTTCCCCTTTGCAAAGCCTTGCCAGCTGAACGTTGGGTCCCAACCCATCCTGACCCTTATTCCCATCCTCTAGAAAGATTATTGGGGGGGGGGCAGGTATTTCTGTCCCAAAAATCAATGGAGAGCAACTTGCCGCTCAACTCAATCACTGCAACTCGGTGGGCTCCTTTCCCTGGGTGATTAACTGACGAAAGCCGGGATAATCCGGTTATTAAACCGATTCAGGTTTGCAGACGTGCTTGATGCACAGGCTTCTAATCTGGCAGACTTGAGCAATGATCCATCCGGCATCCAGGGACATTTGGCTGTCTCTAAGTGGAGGCCAGGAGGACTTTTAGCCTGGTCTTTCTTTCTTTCTTTCTTTCTTTCTCTCTCTCTCTCTCTCTCTCTCTCTCTCTCTCTCTCTTTTCTTTCTTTCGTGGTCCAGCCTTCTGCTGCTTCAAAGCATCACAAAGTGTCCCTCTTCTGCAGTGTCTCTCAACCTCAGCAATTTTTAAGATGTATGGACTTCTGACTGGGGGATTCTGGGAGTTCAAGTCTACCCATCTTAAAGGATGCTGGCTGGGGGGGGATGATTCTGGAATTGGTCCACACATCTTAAAGCATATTGGCTAGGGAATTCTGGGAGTTGAAGTCCACCCATCTTAAAGCATGCTGGTTGAGGGATTCTGGGAGTTGAAGTCCACCCAACAGGTTTCTGGTATGTTGCACCATTGATGGGAGGCCCACTGGCGCTCTCAACCGGCAGCCTACTTCCTGTTGGGGAGCTTGCATTTG